CACCCAAACCAGCCACCCCCACAGATACTCCAAGCCCCTCGGTCTCACTTGAAAGGGGAAAAGAAAGGGCCAGTGAGATGATCAGGGTGGAGGAGAGGGGGGTTAAGATTTACAAGTGAATGGAGGTAAGAATGGAGCAGTTTGTGGGATAAAGGGGCTGCGGAGGGAGCTTTACAGATGTGCAGAGGGACGGCGGCTCATTGTTTAATTAAGCAGAAAGTGGCTCTTTTGAAAAGCAATTTTGCACAGGAGCTCTGAGCTCAGCAAACAACTCCTGCGAGTGAGGGCAGGAGGAGAAAGGAACAGCTGGCCCGGAGCCGTGTGAACCGCATGCTAAGCGGTTTAAAGGGCCCGGATCCTCCTCCCCAGCCCTGCTCCGCTGCCACCCTCTGAACAGCGCTGTCAGCACAGCAAATCCCACCGAGAGAAAAGAGGGAGCGCAGGGGGGGTGGCACGGAGGGGTTATCCTGCTAGGTGTCCACACTGCAATACAGCGGCTGGGAAGGAGGGTGTAACAGCCCGGCTTTGTTATCCCAGGGATTTGGTCACACACAAGAGCTGGTTTCTCAGTGCTTGGGAAGATCCTTCCACAATGAGTTGGGATGAACTGATCCAGTAATGTGGCTCCACGGCCTCCCGGGAGGGTGCTGGGGCTGCTCCTGTGAGGATGAGCGTTTGTTTCCCTGTTCCCTGGGAAGGGATTCGTGGTCTCCCTGGGACAGGGACCCGCAGCCAGGACGGCTGCACACGTGGCAGGGACTGCTCCATCCCGAAGTGGTAGCCCTGCGGCACCACACCGGGCTCTGTGCTGCAAACACACTGCTGGATCCTGCAGGAGCAGCCAGAACCCAGGATCCAGCCTGAGCTCCCACCTTATGTCCCCTTCCCTTGCCACCAGATCTATAATTTCCTGGCTAAGAGAGATGCAAGAGTAGGATGCACAAGCAGGGGACTAACCTGAATCCTTTGAGAGCTGTGAGTGCCACACACTGTGGTTAAAAAGATTTGACTGCATGAAGTTTTCCATAGAGCTATGGGGGTTTTTTTCTCATCATTCTTCTAATAAGCCTCTGCATCACCCAATATATTTTTATTCTTTCTTTGGAGCAAGTTTTAAAATGTTAGGAATAATAAACAGAGCAATAAAAGCATTCCAGAATATTAATGACTTAACTACAATCTACTATGTAGCAATAGCACTGGGCACTTACAACCAACACCAACTGCTATTCCTGATTTTACACGTTGTTTTGGCACAGCACCCCAGTCAACTCTGAACATGTGCCATGTTGTATTTTTTAAGCCACTCTGCCTGTATCACAGGCCTGATCTCTTGAGATCCCCAGGCTCTTTCCTGAGAAGATGAATGCTCCCAAGTCCCCAGCAGTCCTCCATGCTGGGCAGAACAAGGCCCCTGGAAAGCAAAGCTCTTGAGGAGCAGACCATGCTCTTCTCTACAGGGATTCAACTTAAACAGCACTTGGCAGATTATTTTCATTTTCCCGCTTAAAAAAAAAAATCTGATTATCAGTGGGCTTTTTTCCCTGGGGTTTTGGTAAGAGAAACCACAAACAATTACCAAAACACACTGATTAATAATTTATCCTTCCAGACTTGTAAGTGCCAAAACACAGTGTGAATTCATGATTAGCCCAGAAGACCCGAGCGAGCACTGCTGAAACTGGTCACTGCTGCTCCAAAAACACAAGTCTCACCACTGATGCCACAGGAGAAGCTGGAATTCAAAGGCCTGCAAGCAGCCTGCAGCACAAGTGCCAGAGACTTTACACACAGCCCCAGCCTCTGGATGCAACATCCAGTAGACAGCACAGCCAGAGGGGTTTTGTAAACACTCTTCATCAGCATGATGCTGCTGAGCTAAACCTGCAATGACTACAAGGGTTAAACAATGCCAGTGACTTCCTACCCTCCCAACAGCATCCATGCAACCATGGCCAAGACAAATCCACCACTGTGAGTCCCAGTGAGGTGGAGGAAGGAGCTCTGGCATCCCTTGCAGAGCAGTCATACAATGATCTATTTGATTACTGAAGCACTTGGTTAAATTACTGTGGCTTGTTTCAGGAGGAGGCTGCCAAATACATTTTCAGTTTTTAATCTAGGGTTTCTCTCTTTTATGCTCCATTGTCTCTAATAGCCTCTTAGATGCTTGAAAATAAAGTTGATTTCCCTGCCAATTTAATCCTCTCTCTATGTGACAAATATCGTTATTCCCCCAGCTGCTTTCTCCCACACACTGTTTTCATGCAGAAGAAGCCAACAGGGCATAATGCCTTTAGATCCTCTAACAGCATTATCAGTGAGATCATCAGAATAGCCAGCAATTTGGGGTAAGATTCTTGTCTCACTTGAGGTCTTCTTTCTGCAACAGCTCCACAAGATTACACAGGACTACACAAAGTGTGGCTTAGTTAGATCTGCTGGCCTATGCACATACACCACACCTTTTCAAGTTCCTAGTTGGCAGCAACTTCAACATGCAGGCTGAGGTAGCCCTGCTTTGGAAATAAAGAATTGCTGTTCAACTGATATTAGGATACAAAAAGCCCCTTGGATAATAAAAATAGGTCCCGCCACACGGTTGTACCCCTTGTGGCTTGCTCTTGTCCCATTTGCAGCTTCCTTCCTTCTGCCTTTCCTAATCCCTCCAGGAGTCCACCTCCAGGCATCACAAAAGGACAGAGAATCCAATCTTCTTGAAAAAAGTTAACTGGATCTGGAACCCACCTACTTTCCACCTACTGCCCGTTACCAGGAAAAGAAAAATGATCCCAAATGATCAACCGACGTTATCACTCAGAGAACATTGACTGCCCCTGTCAACTATGGAGCACAGCTTGTTTTATCATGTAAATAGATGTAGGTATTTCTTCATATAATTTTCTACCTCCCCCCACCTCTGGGATATATTTAAAAATGCCTAAACAATTAAAATATTGCTGTGCCCAATGTCCCAGAGAGAAGCAGCTACTCTGCAAAAAGGAGGACAAAGACAAAAATAACCTAGAGAGAAAGGAAGAGTAGGTAAGAGAGGCCAAAATGGCCAAAAATAAGCTTGGCAGATAATGAAATCACTTAAAATGGGGTTAGAAGTGCAGGTGTTCAAGCAGTGTTCATGCTACAGGTCTTTCCCTGGAGTACTCAGTGATGGACATTCAGGGTAAGCAACAGGATGTGCTGAGCAGAACTGAGCTGTTTTATTTCTCTAATCATTGCAATTCTGGCTGCAGCAAGGAACATGCTATATATATACATATATATATATATATGTGTGTGTGTGTTTATTTACACAGAGATAGGTGAATTAAACTTTCTTAGTGTGAACCAGGGAAATACACGGCATTAGGAACAACATAAAATCGCACAGACTTACCAAATTTCCTATTCACATGTTTTTTATGTGATTCTATTGATTCCTCACCACTACAACATAATGGTCTTCTGGAAATACTATGAGGGGTGTCTCCAGCAGTCTGTTACTGTCAGACATTAACCCCACATGTTCCTGCCTCATCCCTGTGCTGCAAAACATGGCAGCAGGAAAAGCTGGGAGCAATAATGCGCTAGATGAATCTGGAATGAATCACTGGAGATCATGAGTTTGAACCCTGAGACTGAGACAGACCTTCAGGGAGAGATTTATCCTTTAGGATAAACTCAGATCCTAGTGAAGTCCACAGAAGTCTTTGCAGCAGCTTCAATGGGAATGGATCAGGCCACAAACAGTTGCACTGCTGACAATCATGGGGCTAGAAGAATCATTTTTTGGTATTAATACCCTCCCTTCCCCTGGCAGAAATAAACATCTCCTGTAATAATCCCTTCTTCCTGAGTATCTGATCATGGTTTGAACACCACCAAGGCAGTGGGTGTTACTGGGTATTTTAAATTTACAGAGCACTGAAGAAAATTACGCTCTATCCCCCAAGTTTATAAACCAACTAAATGAGTGTTTTAGCATTTCTTCACTACCTTCCATTTAAGGATCTTAAGTGCTTTAACAGTGCTGGAATTTAATGCTGAACTCTCTTGTGATACATGAAAGTATCACTACAACCTCACTAGCAACAGGGGAAAGTTAAGCAACATGACTAAACTCACAAAGCAAATCAGCATCAGGTCATGTTTCTGGAGCCTCAGTCCCCGTCCTTACCCACAAGATAACACAATATTCCAGTGCTCCTAATTATATTTGAATTACACGTACTTATGTCCAAGCATCAAAAGCACTTCTACCAATCTCTAATTACTTCCAGGCACAGCAAGAAGATTTCAGGCCTGGAGGTTCCCAGCACACAGATTATGGTATTAGCCATTCATGAGATATTAGTTAACATTCCCTGATGTTCTGTATTATTTCAGTTTATAATCCCACTCAAATATCACAAAGCAGTGCTATCTAGGTGGAAGAATTCAGAACATACCTGTGGCAAAATTACATTGCCACTGAAGTATGCACACACAAGTGAGTTAGTGCAGCACTGCTCAGAATTGATATAAAATTATTATCTATACTTGAAAGTCAAAAAAGTAGATAAAATAAGTTTATGTTACACTGCTACACCCCCCCCCACATATCTATACACTACATACACACACACACACATATATATACATATGTGCCTTTTGGAAATCTCAGAACGGGCAGGGAAAAACAATGAGAGAAGAGGTTATTGGTAGTTTCAAGTACCAAGCAAGACAGACACAGACTTGATGGAAACATCCAGAAGCTGTTGTCTATCCAGGAGGAGGGAGGCAAGACTTAAGGAAGGACTCAATTCCCAAGTGCTTAGAGGACAAGGAAAGATGCTCAGACTTTGAGGACCAACCCTTGTTTTCCAAGCTACCCAATCCACGGCACGTCTGAAAGAGCTTTTAAAACACTTTGATCCTCACTGCCAACTAGAAGTGCTGTACAAACCAGCTTTGTTTCATCTGTTGTCATCCTTTCAAGTTATCCAGCAGGTTCTGATACTCACAAGGCTCTGGTTGACAGGGCAAAGTCACCTGATGCTTTTTGACACCATCGAACAAGAGTTCTGCACCACCTCTGAAATAAAAACAATGAACCACTGAGATTTTGCTTTATTGTCAGAAGGGAGACAGTACAAAAGAGGCGATTTACATAGATGGCACAGCAGAGAAAACAAATGACACAGACTATATTTAGCACAGGATTCCCTTTGTCTTTTTTTTTTTCCCCTGTCACAAACCACAAGTTCTTGGGGGGGAGCTGCCAGATCCCATCTCCAGCACATACAGGAGGCTCTGCTGTGGGCCAGGACCCCACAGTGCCAGGCATTATCCCAAAGGAACGGGAACATGGTTCCCATCTCCGAGTGCTCACAAACCTGAACAACATTCCAGCCACCACGTCACGTCCAATGTTGCTCATCCCTGACCTCTTTTAGCCAGAAGTCTCAAAAACTGAGCATCCCTCTGGGATAAATATTCCCCCAGTTTCCACTTGTGAACACAGGGAGAGAGGAAACGACTCACATGAGGTTACAGAGCAAGTCAGGGGAAGCAATCCCCGAGTCCTGGCAACCCTTTCTTGATCTATGAAGTGTTCCCGAGAGAGACTTGACTGGGGGAAGCGAGTGGAGAGGATGACAAGTTAAAATATAAATAAATAAATACACAATCCTCCTACACTGAACAACTTGATGAACGTCCCTCCTCTGACACTCGGAACACCCTGGGGGACCAGGGAACAAGAGGTGGCCCCTGCAGGCACAGGAGATCAGGTGTGAGCAGGACATGCAGAGGCTGCTAAGCACAGGAGCTGGTCCTCACACTGTGATTTAAATTGGGTCCAGGCACCTAATCTTAGGCTCTTCAAAGGAACAATTAATTTTTGTAACTTCAACTCAGAAGCCTCAGCAAACTCCTCGCCTTTCTGGAAAAAGAACAACTGTGAAAGTCTTGGGCTTTACCAACATCCATCAGTTTTCATGATGTTGTGAGGCCAGAGGCCAAACTCAGATTATAAAACTTCATCGTGTGAGTAGGGACACGGGTAATAAACACAAAAGCTACTTTTAGATATGGGACATAACAGCAGAGTGTGACCTTTTGACTCTAAACTGAATTCTAGACTGGGTAAGGTTTTAACAACTAGAAAACTCTTAAAAAACTCAACTCAATACTCAAGTGAGGCTGAAAAATGACCAACCCATTTTCAAAGGGCACATAACCGTGGCAAAATATCCTTCCAGCTCAAATGTAGATTACTTCAGAAAAATTTCCCTATGAAGTTACTTTACTGGTGATTCTCCTCCCTTGGAAACCAACACAATAAAGAGAAATATTTAAAACCAACCAATCCCCACCTAAAGAACCAACAAAGATACATCCAGACGTTACTAAGCTCCTTTAAATTCAATATCTAAAAATGCCCCAGTAGGTTTTCTTGGCTCTGCAGTGGCAGAGCACAACAGAACCCTTGTTGTGCCCTCGGCAGCACTACTTATATGCAGCAAACCCTCCTAAAGGGCACTCTGTTGGTGTTCTTCCCCCAGCTCACAACAAATAGTTATCTCCAAATTGAAGCAGCGATTTATTAACACGAGCCCGAGATTCATGGGAGGGAACAAGTCACAACAATTATATGAAAAACATTTTTTCATGTAATGAAAACAAGGTCACGCTTTGTTGCAGCGGGAAATGTAGATTGCAAGATAAGGTCCTTCTGTAAAGCGGGAGCCGTGGGGGACTCAGCTGTGGTTCCTACATAGAGAGCTCATTTATGCATTTCCAAGGGAAGCAAAAATGCATTTCACTCTTCTGGGAAAATTAGGAGAGTTTGCTGCAGCTGGAAGCGGGAAAGACTGAGGAAAGGATTCTTAAGGAGAAGGGTGTTTAAAGGGTTATGGTATTTCTGTGTTCGTGAAAGGGTGGGAAAAAGCGAATAAATAGCAGCCTTTTAGCTTCGGCTAAAAGGAGGCTTTAACGAAATAACACCAGTATTTCCACAAATATGCACAGCTTCCACTGCAAACGCTTTAGGTTCCCAGGGCCAGAGTGTGAGCGAGGCTGATATTACAGTAGAAAAGGCCTGGAAACCAAAATGCTGCAGAGTGAGGGTGCAGCTGTTTGACACCGACACAGCTGGGACACAAAGCACAGCGAGGGCACATGTACACACACAAACACACACACAAGTACACGTACGGAGGGGGGGAAAAAAGCCGAAAAACGAGTGGGAGTTTTTTATAAATAATTTTAATAATTAAAAAAAAAAAAAAAGAAAGAAAAATTAGAGGTAGAAAGTAGAGAAAGGAAAGGAGTGGCACAGGACGCTCACACAGAGACGGCAGGAGGCCCCGGGGCAGACGGGCAGGTCCAGCGCTGCGGACACCCCTCGGCGGTGCCCGACCCCTCGGTTCCCCGGGGGCGGCCGCTCCGCCAGCCCGGCCCGCAGCCCCGCGCAGCGCGGCGGCCGGGCCCAGGCGCGCGCCCGCGCGGGCCAGCAGGCCACGTGCAACCAGCCGCGCGCGCCTCGGTGCCGCGGCGCCTCACCGAGGGCACCATCGCGGCCCTGCCCGCCCGGGCAGCGCCCTGCCTCCGCCCGGGCCCCGCTCCCGGCCGCCGCCCGCGCTCACCCGAACTCCACCTGCAGCGACACGGGCGCCCGCCATCTTGGGCGACGGGCGCGCGAGAGGGGGCCGGCGCGCGCGCGGGCCGCGCCGGAAGTGCTCGCGCGCCCGGCTTCCGGCCGCGCCGCGTTGCCACGGCAACGGCGGGGGATGGAGAGGCGGCCTGGGCCGAGCCTGGGACCGGGGCCCAGGAGAGCCCCAGAGGAGCTCCCGCAGTGCCGGGCAACGCGGCCTGTGTCCCCCGAAAGTGCTATTTTTAAATACCTGCGCGCTGGCGCCAGGCGATGTTACTTTAAAATACCCATTTCTACGCCAAGTTCACGACTGGTCGCGCACAGAGCCCCTTTCACATGCTTAGGGCTGCACACAGAGCCCTTGGTGTGCCCGGAGCGCTTGGGCTGGGGGGAGCCGGGAGCTGCAGCGGGGGTTTCCCAGCAGAGGTTTCCCAGCAGAGCTTTCCCTGGCAGCGAAGCTGCTGAAACACAAGAAGTTCCACCTCAGCATGAGGAAGAACTTTGTTGCATTGAGGAGGCAGAGCACTGGAACAGGTGCCCAGGGAGGGCGTGGAGTCTGTGGAGACATCCCAAACCCACCTGGACGCGTTCTTGTGCCACCTGCTCCAGGTGACCCTGCTGGGTAGGGGGCCTGGACTGGGAGATCACCAGAGGTCCCTTCCAGCCCTAATGATTCTGTGATTCTGTGAGTCTAAGGCACTGCCTCGCAGCTCATCAGGACTGCGGGGGAAGCAGAAACGGCTGGCTGAGACCAACAACCGCTGCTGTCACCACCATGAAGATGTGGTTCTGTGCCAGGGGTGGCATTTCACATCCCTCCTGCTCGGGCAGCTCCTGCCAGTGAGCCCTTCCCCGAGCACCTCCAGCTCGGCATTAAACAACGCGGCTCACATCTGTCGCCTGTTTGTTTTCCCCCCCTGTCCCCAGAGGAGCCCCGTGTACACAGGCGGGACGCAGCCATGGCGGTGACAGCTGGGCTGTGCTTCTCCCCCACGACACAGGGCAGCACTGGTGGAAAAACCGCACTCAGCGGAGGGGTTTGGGGTTAAAAAAAATCCACGTACGCGTGCACGCATGCACATAGAAATGTAACAGCTATGCATATACATGATGCATTATGTGTAAGGGGCATAAATTTACACAGACAGATTGCTCTTCGTTTATGCTAACGGGGGTCAGAGCACGCCTAACCCCGGGAGCAGAAGGTGGTGGTGTTTGTAATGGCCTTTTGTTCTCCCGAGGAGATCATTCTCCGGGCTGGGCCCCAGGAAAGGCCGGTCCCTCACAGATGAATGCTGCCTTCGCTGCCGGGGTTACGTGATGGCAGGGACGTGAAGCTGTTGACCGTGGTCTTCATCCAAAAATTCCATCTGGATTTTAAATATCTCTTAAATCCCGAGGCTTTTGCGTATCTCAGAGATATGGCCCAGGATGGAAATGTATGGAAAAGCAGCTGAGGAGAGAAGCCTTAGACAAAAATCATCCTTCTATACTCTTCAGAAATGACTGAAGCATTTTGTGTGGAGAGGATCTGGTAATCTTAACTCCAGATCAGAGTTTGCAGTTATGGTTTTGTATGAGCTATTCTTCTTTCCAGAAGTCATTTATGAGGCCAAATAAAAGGAGAACTGGCTCCTAAAAGAATAAAGTTATAGAAATACAAAAAAATATTACAGATTTAGTGTTAGTACCTCCCTGAAAAGCAAAAATAATTTAAAAGAAAGGGAACAGTAATCGTAAATATCAATTCAGCTCATTCAAACATTCAAAGCTCGTTACTGTTAACAATTGTCCTGGTCAAACAGTGACTACAAGAGATATGGGGGATGTTTTTTTGGACATTGCTGTCTCCGTGCTGGGTGCTGAAATCAGAGCACCACTAATTCTCCAGGTATGCTTGGGGTGGGGAAAGCAAGCACACAATCTCCTTGAGAAAGTGTAATGCTGGCACTGTTAAAGTGCTGTAAACAGGGATGGTGTTTGATTAACAGGTACATAAAGCAAAACCAGGTACAGACAAGGCTCCTGCCTTGAATATGTATACTGAGTTCAGCTCACTGTAACACACCGTCTCCTCGTTCAAACCCAGCAATGTGTCACTGTGCTTTACTTAAGCTGAACTTCTCTTTGGATACCCAGTTTTCCAGATCCTGACAGACCCCTCACTTGCTCCCAGGTGTGGAATGGCACTGGGCAGGACCCAGGCAGTTGTGGTGCTCATTCCAGTTACATGGGGCCTCTGGCTGCACTCGCCTCTCCCTTCCCACAAAACCCTCTGCACCAGACAAAGGAACAGGTTGGAAAATAAAGGCAGGTTAATTTCTTTTGTCTCGGTCCTATCTTCTGGGTTTTTTCCCTGCTATTTGCACGCTTTCTCTCTCCCCTTAAGTGCAAGGAGGAACATGCCTCTGTCCATCCGCTGAGGGTTTATTCTGGAGGAAATGGTTTAGGTCGCCATCACGTCCTTCAGGGAAACGTAGTTTATAAATACAGCGGGGCCCAGCGCTACGAGGAAACATTTTATCAGAGAGCCCTGAGCTGACGATTCAATTATTTTTCAATAAAACATCAGGGGAATGCACAAACAGCTGCTTGCATCCTTCCACACAGCAAGTCAAACTTCAAGGGGAACAATAGCTGGCGAAAGGGGAGCCATCGCGGAGGCGGTGACAATGGGTTTCCTTACTCGGGGCTTTGTTTGATTTCCCCCGTCTCAGTTTTGAACTCCCTCCGCCGGAGAAAGGCGAGGGGGTAGGACGGGGAGAGGGGGAAGCAGGCAGAGGGGAAGGAGGGTCAGTGGGAGTTAAAGCCTTTTGCAGCCTTTCTCTCCCATTCATGTGGTAATTGGGTGTCAAGCAGAGATCAGTAAGATGGAGCCCGGCCTCTGTGCCCGGGTTAAACTGCAGCAGAAAGAAAGCGGGAGCTGAACCGATGGAGGCCTGAATGTCATTAGGGCGGGAGGAAGCGCCTCTCCCCCAGGAGCCCTTCTGCCGGGGTGCTGGGCTGGGGGGGCCGCTTCCCATTCAGGGCATCCCTGAAAGCGGCCAGACAAAGCGGGAGGGCGCCCGAACAATGCCGCACCCCCGGCTCTACCTTCAATAGGGAGCTCTAAACAGGCGTTTAACCTTCAGAATAGCTGAAAGTGATACTCAAAGCTGAGGAGGTGGCTCGCCCGCCGCTGTTGGCCTCTTCCTGCGGCCAAGCCGGAGGCCACTTGGATGGCCGGAGGCGAAGAGGAAAGGCTCTCGCTGCCCTCGCTTCCTCAGGCCCCTTGGCACAGCCCTGTGAAGGTCGCGGAAGGTGTCACCTCGAGGGCAGGATCAGACCACAGCTCCTGCCGGGGCTGGCAGGATGCTGGGGATGCTGGGGAGGGATGCTCAGCACCCTCACGGATGGGGCTAGAGGAAGGCAGGGCTGTACGGAGGAGGGGGATGCGGCATATTAGGGGGTCATGTTCCACTTCACAAGCTGGGATCATTTGGCAAAGGATCAGGGAAGATCTGGGCAGTGACCCCCCCCATCCTGAGCCTCGGACAGCATCACCACTGCCTGCAATTCCTGGTATTGCCACCCTGTACTGCATGATCCCAACTACTCAAATCTCTCCCAGAGCCTGGCCTGGCATCGTTTGTGCCTATGGATGAGATTTTTAATTAAGGAGAAAAGCGGGTCAAACCCCAGGTTATTTTGGAAGGTGGGAAATGCCACCGAAATGGGCCAGGGTCAAAACTGGCACAGCAGGACCTGTCACTGCTCCCTGAGCCTCGCCTTGCTGCACAGCCCAGCCCTCCCGTGCTGTCCAGGAGCTCAGCAGCCATTTGCCATAAGGACATTTGCTTCCCTTGTAAAGCCCTTCTACTTTGAGAAGGAAAGCTGCTGCCCCTTCCCTCTTACACAGGATGATGAGATCTCCACAGACCATCATTTTGGTGGAATCCCCGGCCACACAGCCCCTTCAGACTGGAGGGAGAGAAGCCGCCCCTGGCCCTGCTCTTGGTTACACTGAAACCACTCCTGGGAATCGAGTATTTCCATTTCTAAAGAGTGCACCAAAGGATAGTCCCTTCTTTAGCTGAGAATATTTCCCTGTCTCTGCTTAAAGGCAAAGCCAGCTCCCCAGCGTGCGGAGGAGCAGGCGGCTGTCATTGTTTGGGAAGGCTCCGGCACACCAAGAGTGGCAGGGGGAGGCTGGAGAGATGCAGCATTAAAGATTGTCAAAGACTTTGTCAGCAGCAAAAATTAATTTCACCCTGAAAGGTCCCGAGCAACTTGCAAAGCCTCTGCCTACATTAAAGCTAAAATACATTCCAGTTTTGCACAACAAGCGTGGCCTGTCTGAGCTGGACCTAGAGCTGGAAAGAGATGCTGATCAGAAAGAAAGTTGGCGAAATTTCTTTTTTTTTTTCTTGATATTACTGTCCCTGTCCAGGACACAGAGCCTGGGAGAAGCAGTCATCTCCATGGGGAAAAGTACATTTGGTTTGTAAAGCTCTTTGGCTTTGCTTAAATTAATAGTCTGATAATAACCCAGGAAAGGATTTTAATGTTTTCTTAACCTCATGCAAACAGCATTTTAAGTGTTTTAATTAAAAAAGAATAATGCCTCGTACTTAATATAGAGTACTTTTATGTGCTGAGCTAGAGTAGCATATTGATCAAAGGGGAGGGATGTCTTGCAAAGTGTCTCTAATCATAGAGGATCCAATTAGCCTCTTCCTTAAAATTGCACTAATAAGGAGAAATTTAAAAAAATCAGACTGATTAAACATTGTCTACTTCTTTCCAAACACTTCTCTGATGGAAGTGTCCCAGCATTGATCCCAGGTTTGGTACCTACTACACCTGCACTTGTATTCCTGGGTCGAGAGCTTCACGGACACTTGCACCTAGGCTTCATTTTTGCAGAGGAGCTGGGACTTTAAAAAGGCCCCAGGATTTCAACTCAAAGTTGACAGCCAGCGGAAAACCTCTAATTGGTGTAGCTGGGTGTTGCAGGGAGTCTTGAAGCACTGCCAAGTGCAACACAACCCTCCTCAGTCAGGAATTTTCCCCAGCCACCAGATCTCCAGCAGGGACCAACCCCCCAGCACTGAAGTGCTAAATCCTGCTCCTCTCACAGGTTTCTAATGCCCCTCCATCTCTAAAACCCAGCAACATAAGCCAGGCTCCACTTGTGCGGGCTCACTTGCAAACAACAGCCATATTTCCAGGACCTTACAAAGCTATTTGCACCTGCAGTTAACAGGCAGTGCCCTGAATGCAGAGTTTCTATGGCTTTTTTAACCTAACCTGCTCTCAGACAGACAGAAATGCAGAGCTGAGCTTTGCCCTGCAGCCCCTCTTCCTTTGGAGCAGCTTTGTGTGCAGGGCAGCACCGACATCTCCTCCAGGAAGGGAGCACAGCTCTCCCATATCCTCCTGTACCACTTCAAACCATCCATCTCTGGGCAACGACCCTCAGGTCTGACTTGAGGAAGGCCAAGTTTTCCCCTATTCCCTTTAGCAGAGGGCTGGTTGAGGTCAGTGGTTCAGGTCTCTGCCCACCACCCACCTGGCACAGCTCGGTGTCCTCGGTGCTGCCCAAATCTCCATCAGGCACAGCTCCTGTTGGGAACCTGAGCAGAGTGGACACCAAGCACCTGGGATTGCCACTGACCTCACACCCAGCACCATCATCTCTACCCAAAATTTCCCCTCCACCTCGGACAGGGGCTGCCCAGCTCCCTGAGTGGGTAACCCCCCTGCTTCAGCACCCCACACTTCCAGGGCTCTGAACAGCACACTCGGGCTGTGAAACCCCCGGGGAGCGCATAAGGACGTATATCCCCGCGGGTGAGGCGTTTGCCGAGCCCAGCCTGCCCTCCTCCGGTGGCTCCGAGAGGAACAGGATCCCAAAGCAGGACCAGAGCACCTGCAGAGGAGGCAGCCACCACTGCACACCCTGCACCAGACCCCCGGGCCCCTACCTATGACACCCCCCAAGCAAAGCCACCTGGTTTGAGAGCTCTTCAGGGCTGTGGGGGTGAAGCCGGTTTTCCACTGAGTTCTCCCACTGCTTTGGGACAGAGACTGGCAAGTCACTGTGTTCAGAGAACTGAGACTAAAAGCTTTTAGCTTAGAGATGGTGGAGAAGCCACCAATTTGAAAATGTCCAGAAGTGCATCTGGTATATAATGGATGCAAATTTCCAGCACTTTTCCCATAGTGTGTTTCAGGCAACACACTTCACTCGGGCTCATGGAAGACATTTCTCTTGGCACCCATGTACCAAGAAGAAGCTTTGAAGGCAAAGGGTCTAAAGGATGGTTCTAGAAGCAAGGGACGGGGAATGGGTACCAAAAAACTTGTCTACAAGGGCAGAAATGAGCTGAGAGGTTTAGTGTGGCCAAACACGGAGAGAAGCTGCACAAAGAAGAAAGAGGGAACAGGAGAGGGGTGGACAAGCCAGATGTGCCAGGGAGAACTGGGCCAGGACAAACTGGGATGGCAATGCTGAGAGCAGGACCAGGAGAAAGGGGGAGCAGGGAGGTGGTGGAGGGGACTGGGGAGGGTCTGATCAACAGGTTGTTTTCACACAGTCATTAAACACAGCACCAAGGGGCTTGTTCCCCCTGCTCTGAGATGAGCCAAAGTCCTCCGGTGCTCTGGAGTGGCAGTTCCCAGTTCCCAAACTGGCACAGTCACTTGTCTCCCCCCACAGAGCAGGATTCCACAAGGAAGAGGTAGGAAACTCCAGCATAGCCCATACTTGTGTTTAATTGTGAGACCAGGACAGACTGGGGCAGGCAGGAACGTTGGTGTGGAAGCACAGCTAGAAGAGCAGACACACCTTGCCCTCACGAAAGACAGACGTTGTTTCAAGGAGTAACCCTGCTAAAAGCATAAAAACAAATTATAAAAAAAAAAAAAAATAAAGAAGAAGAAACCCCAACCCAGAGTTTTCTCTGGAAGAGACATTTCTGCATGGTCTCCGAGGACTGGAATCAGACATTGCTGCTGAGGCTGTTTCATGTCGGACACAACACGGGGAATTCACATAGCACAAGTCAGGTGTTTCACATGGACATTTCACTTCAGGGCCCGGCTCCGGTGCTGGAGACAGGGAGGGCTCTTTTGGGAAGGGATGCAGAGCACATGAAGTCAGGCTCTCACAGAGGCCACCCTCCAGAGGACGTTCTCTCCCCAGGCAAGTTGCCTCCCATGTCCAGGGCACTGACATCATGGCAGGAAAGCCCTGAGAGCTGCTCCGTGGTGCTGAGCATGTCTAAGCAAAGGCAAACCAGGCCCTTCTTCCCACTCTCCCACTTGCTTTTTGCCAAGAAGAAGGTCCACAAAACAAGGCTGCATCCACGAAAGATGGAATTAAAAGACCCAGAGAAGTGTCCACAAGACAGTGGGATTTGCTCATGTCCTCCACCATGGAGCAAGGCCACAAGGACATATACAGCTGCACCCACGCTGGAAGAGGAGAATCAGTCCCAGATGAGCTTCCCATCTCCCTGTGAGAGAGAAGGACTATCCAAGAGAGGACAGGTCTGGGCTATCCCTCCACCTACTGCACAAACCCGGGACACATTCAAAAGTATAGACAATAAATTAAGATTGAAAAAAAAAAGTCAGCGTGTATAATATATATATATATATATATAATATAATGTGCGTGTGATTGTGAAAAATGTCATCCCCAGGAGAGAGAAAGGCATGGCAGAAACACATCCCTGTCCCCCTCCTGAGCCCAACACTACCCTGGCTCCCCTGCTTCACAGCAGACACACGACACCAGCAGGGCCATGCAGAGGACAGGGGCTGCTCCTGGCACCCAGCTTCCCTCTGCCAGTGGGGTCCCTGTGCCAAGGAGGAGCTGGCTGCTTGGTGGAGGAGTGGGGAAGAGCCCAGCACTGGTCCCTTCATGGCCTTCACAAGGAAGGGTTGCTGCACGCAGGAAAAGGGAGGGAAAAGACAGGAAAAGCAAAGTGGAATGGCAGGGGCACCCCACCCCTCCTCAACTGGCCAGGGCCCTGCCCCTCCCATGGCACGGGACCACCACCACTGTACCAAGTAGAAAATAAAGCCATAATGAGTCAATGCTTTGGTATGTGACCATCCCCCTCCCCTCGGTCCCCTCTGTGTTCCCCCCAAACCCTGATCTGTAAAACTCGTCAAATAAAATCTCTAGAGTGCCTTTGTATCGCTCTGTGAACCTTTCCTTCCCCGGTGCCTGCCCTGTCCCCTCTCCCCAGCAGGATTTGGTAGGTGCCTTGCTTGAGCCCCACCGATTACAGCTTCTGGTCTCCTGACTGGATCCTGCCAAACGCTGCCTGGTCCAGTGGCAGGTATCGGCCTTGCCTGGAGTCCAGAAAATACAACTTGTCCTTCACCACCGCAGGGTCAAAGCCCTGCTTCCGCAGCTCCATCTTCTGGAACTTGTAGGTGCCTGGAACGGGGAGAGAAGAAGGAATAAGGGGTCACTGGCCACACACACTTCCATCCCCACCACACCTGTGCTGCCCCAGACCCAGCCTTGCATCCCATGCCTTGAAACCACCCGAGGAACAGGGGCTCTGTGGGGCAGAGGGGCTCCATCCCCACCCTACAGGTTGATCTCTGTACCCAGCTTCCCCCTCCCAGGCTCTCCCAGCTCCTTGTCCATGGAGTGTGCATGCCATGGCTCACTTGTCTTGGAGACTTCGTGCAGGAACCGCAGGAAGACGGGACGTGCGTACAGTGGCAGCGCCTTTTTCAGCTTGCTGGAAAAGTCTTCCAGGTCACAGGAGTTCTCCGGGTCAGCAATGGCTGCCATTCCTGCCTTCCCTTCAATCCCTAAAAGGCAGAGAAGGGAGAGCACTCAGACACACCATCCCCATAGCGTTATCTCCCTCTGCCCCACACCAACAAGGCCTCTGGCACAGACTCTGCTTTGTCCGAAGCGCTGGCACGTCCGGCTGTGTCACCACCCTGTGGCAAAGGCTACCAGCGACACCCTGCGGTCACGGTCACCTCCTCCCAGAGGAGCCTGTCCAGAAGGGACACCGGGTCCTTCCAAACCAGTCAGAATCAGACCAAAGCTTGAGAGAGGGAGGGAACCCTCTGGTTCCCACTAGGCCCGTCCCCTGTGGCCTCTTCCCAGCTCGCCCACAGGGAGCCTTGGCCCACCCTCTTGCAAAGGGACACGTCCATCTGGACATGCAGGACACGCTCACATTCAAGTGCTGGAGGCTTGTCTGCCTCCCCTGATTGTCCTCTTCCCTCTCAGCTACCTGGGACCTCCACCCCATAAACCACCACGTCCGTCAGGTTGAGGATGCGGCTCAGCGTTCCCTCCACCTCTGTGGTGGAGACGTTCTCCCCTTTCCAGCGGAACGTGTCCCCGGTGCGGTCACGGAAGTACATGTAGCCATATTTATCCATCACCAGCACATCCCCTACAAGAAAGCGAGGGATAAGCAAATAAAATGAGGTGTTAGAGGGACTAGGAGCAATGCTGGAGCATCTCAGGGCAGTGTCACTAGCCTAGAACAGTCCCCACCCACACCCAGGTGCCCTTCTCCTCCACTCCCAGTGGACAGAGGGGCCCTGCTTGCCTCACCTGTGAGATAGGCAGCGTCCCCTTTTGTAAACACGTCCCTGGCGATTTTCTTGTTGGTGGCTGACTGATTCAGGTAGCCATCAAAGTGCTGCAGGGGATTGCTCCTGACAATGCGACCCACCAGCTGCCCCGGCTCCCCTGTGGGGAGAAGAGGGGATGAAGAGAAGAAGCAACCACCCACACCCAAGCAAAAAGGGTGTCTAATGGGATTTAACTGAGCAGAGACTCAAACCCAGGGAAATTATCTTGAAGTGTTTGTGAAAGACTCACACAGGGCTGAGGAGATTTATCCCTGTGGGTGCCCTCACCTGGTTTACAGCTGATACAGACACCATCCGGCCCCCGGATCAGCTCCATGGTGTCCTCGTCCACCTTCACCAAGCCGATGGGGTACACACCTGGCAGGATCCTGCTGTTGAAGCCACATGACCCAACCTAGAACAGAAAGAGCTCAGAGCTGTGGGTGGCAGGGACATTTGTCTCGCCCGAGCCCACTGCCCACACACACCTAGGACACCACAGAGCTGGCATCACACAACAACCAAAACCCTTCTGGGTGGATGGCAACCCATGCCAAGCCTCTTGGAGCAAACAGCCCACCTGGGTTTCCAATGCTGCCCAGGCCAGCTGTCACCCTTTAGCACACGAGGGAGGGGCCTTACGTTGCCATCGAAGTTTCCCAGGCTGCAGTTGCACTCGGTGGCCCCGTAGAACTCGGCCACCTGGGCGATGCCGAAGCGGGCCATGAACTCCCTCCAGATGGAGGCTCGCAGCCCGTTGCCCACCGCCATCCGCACCCGGTGCTGCCGCTCCGCGTCCTGGTACGGCTGGTTCAGCAGGTAGCGGCAGATCTCCCCGATGTACTGCACAATCTGGGAGTAATGGAGAGGAAAGACTCATAGGACCCCTCTGCCAGGCCCCAGGTTGGCTGGGGTTTCTTCGGGGCGGGTAGGAATGGCACAACATGCCCAAAGTCCCCTAAAGAGGTCACAGTAAAACCCAGGAGTCCTGTGAGCTCATCCAGTGCCTGTCCTTCCCTGGTTAACCCACCCCTCCAGGCTGTGAAACCCATCAGATATCTCCTGGCTAACGCTGGAGCATGGGAAGGGCTTAGACACATGGAGTTACCAGTCCAGGTGGGAAGGACACAGCCCTATCACCTTGGAAGGTGATTCGGGAAGGACAGGCAGAACTGGTCCAGACCTCTCCCTCTTCCAGCAGCTGGGCTCTCCCCAGCACAGCACAGATCCCCAGGCTCTGCTCCCCACTCCTGGCTGGCCTCTTGCCTCACAGCCTCACCGTGCAGTTGTATTTCACGCAGTCCTCCCAGAAGTGCGAGGCTGAGAACTTCTTGCGGATGACAATCGTCATTCCCTGCAGGAGGCACTGCCCAATCCCCACGATGTTCCCTGTGAAGAGGCAGTCAGGAAAGCCCTCAGTCCCCACACACCTCCAATCTCTCCAATCCCGCCACCTGAGAGGCCTGGCAGGGCAAGGCAGAGGCCATGGCTGTCTCACAGCACTGGGGTTCACCCGGCCAAATCCCTCAGGATCATTGGCACCGGGGAGGAGACACACGGCAGCGAGATGTGGGGCAGCACTTTGCACCTAAACATCCCAGCACGTCTCAGCCAGCCAGGCAGGCACCACTTCCCCTTCCCTTTGACTCTCCCCTCTGGCTTTCTACAGGGAACAGTAATAAGGAACAGCTATTCCAAAGCCAGGACAGGAGCTGGGATAATGCCCACCCCACACAATCCCCACTCCAAAGGTCAGCCAGATCGATTCTTCGCTCCCAGGGAAAAAGCAGAAAGCCTCAGTCACGCACTGTGAGCAGCAGGCAGCTCCTCCTCAACATGGAGACTGCTGCCACACCAGCCTCCAGCCTGAGCCCTGGGCTTGGCTTAGGGAGAGACAGTCCCAGGATGCCAGGCTCTGTATGGCACACGTTACCTGCAGCGTGGTAGAGCGGGAGGCAGTCGTACATCACATCGTCAGACCTCATCCGAAAACCATAAAAAACTAAGCTGGACATGCGGAAGTACCTGGGGGAGGGTGAAGAGGCAGGTCAGGAGCAGGGCTGGAGGTGCTGTGCTAGGACAGGGCAGAGCTCAGCCCTGTCCTCCCCTGAGCCCCTGCCCACAGCCTTACCGGCAGTTCACCACAATGGCAGCCTTGGGCAGCCCCGTTGTGCCAGAAGTGTAGATGTAGAAGAGTTTATCTGGAGAGGAATGAGGAAACAGAGTCACATTCCCAATCTGGGAGCTGGCTGAACCAGGAGAGAGGGACGAGCAAAATTTATACAACTCTGCTCCTGTCAGTGGAGCCAAAACCCTTATGTGACAGCACCAACATGCTGGGATCACCCCAGGCAGATCAGGTCTGCTGGACACAGGGAAGGCACGACAGGATACTGCTCCACTCAGGATTGGGCTTTGGACACTGGAGTAAGACCCATCCCAAACACCCCATGCCATTGGCATACTAAGCAGATGATCTTGCCAGGGCTGTTACTGGCTGATCCACAAAAACACCATCGTGAGATTGGCCCCCAAGAGCTGACCACGTACCAAGAAAGCCCTTGTCAGGGGTGGGTGGCTGGTGTCGCTGGGCCATCTGCAGGAGGGGGTCCAGGTGTTTCACACCAGGAAGCATGGATTCAGGACTTCCTTCCCCAGAACAGAAGAGATGGATGGATTTGTCCAGGGAGGGTTGCACTTCCTGCATTGCTAAGAAAGTAAAGAGGGGAGCTGGAGAAAGACTGCTGGGTGGTTATAGCACAGAGACCCCCTGCCCTTGCAGCCTCAGTGAGACACAGCCCCAGGCAGCAGTACCCCCGCTGTGCTTGGCAGAGTCCCCAAAGGGCTCCCAGCCATCCCAGGCAGATGTTCCCATCATTAAGAGGTGCTGGGGCCACAGCCCAGGCCTCTTCAGGGACCAGAAGATCCTGTTCTCCACCTTTCCCCATCCAAAATCTCTTTGGTGCCAAGAGGTCTGTTGACACCATCAACATGAGAGGTGTGGGCTGAAACACACAAGGAGCTGGAGCCAAGGTGCTGCAGGGATGTGGTAACAGCCATGGAGAGCAAGGAGAGGCTCCTCCTGTGCAGCAGGGCAGGTCTAGCCTAGCCCAGCCCAGGGCTCTGTGTCAGGGATGGACCTGAGAAGCACAAGGAAGGATCCTCACACCCAGGCTGGCCTGCCTGGGAGGCAGACAGCACTGCACTCCACATCCTGCCCAGTGTCCAAAGGAACCAACAAGAAAAAAACCCCCAGAACCAGATCTAATTCCTGGATGATTCAACTGCCCACTCCCTTCCGGATCTCTACTCTGTGGTGGGCAGGAAAGGAACACTGAACCCATAGACTAGACACACCTCCCTCCAGTCCAAAGCACCCCCAAAACATCTGCCAGCCCCTCACCTTCCATCATCTCCACCCCAAAAACCACAGCCTTGGAGTTGGAGATGGTGATGCAGTGCAGCAGGGCCTCCATGCGCAGGTGGGAGTTCACCAGGGCCGTCTCCACCCCGATCTTGGCCAAGCCGAGCCACAGCCCCACGTACTGATTGCGGGACTCCATGAAAAGGGCCACCACGTCACCGGAGCGGAAGCCTTGGCCGTAGAAGAAATTGGCCACCTGGTTGGAGTACTCGTCCAGCTGCCGGAAGGTCCAGCTCTCACCCGTGCCTTGGAAGATCAGTGCTGTCTTCTCTGGATACTTCCTCGCGGTCTTCTGGAAGATCTTGGCAATTGTGTTCTTCTCCCTCACGTGCCTCCATACCTGCCACTTCACCCGCAACAGGACCAGCCCCGTGCTGCCAAAGGAAGGGGAGCAAGAGGGCAGCTGCTCAGTGACCCCTGCAAAACCACTTTCTCCAATAAAGCCAGCACAGCATGAGGACCCTCCTAGAAGCTGCAACAGCCCAGCACTACTCCAAGCCCTGCTATAGGTCAGCAGCAGCTATGGGTGTTCCCCTGAGCAGTGTGGACATAGGCAGAGCTCATCTGCAAAGATGCTCATAGCCAGGGACCGATGGAGGCCAGGGAGAGATGTGTTTTGCAAGGCTGCAGACAGGGATGTCCCTGATCAAAAGGGCATCTTTGAGCCTCAGCTGCTCTCCAAGAGGTGCCACTGCTCCCTCCCCACAAATCCTTGCCAGGAGCTGGCACAGCCTGGTACCAGATCAGAATGAACCCTGCACAGGGACCTGGTGACACACCAGCAGCTTCGGGGACAGGGTGAAGTACAAGGGCAGTCACTAGACTTTGAGCTCAGCTGAAATCTATCCTTCCTGTGAAAACTCTGCCCAAGAGTTTGGAGCCACCAGGGCACGGCAGAGGGAGATCTCCTTCCAGCCGGGCCAGGTGCCAGCAGAAACCCAGGGCTGTGCAAGGAGCTGGGGGCTGTGCTCACACACACCATGGCACAGCAGAGGGCCAGGGGAAGGTTGGGTGGGTAGTTGGGCCATCCAAGCCAGGACACCTACGTGACGTCCCTTCGTAATGTCTTGAGGAATATGAGGAAGAAGTCCCATCCGCCGGATCCAAGGTAGAAGATGAAGAGAGCGGGGATGGCCTGGGCCCAGGACAGTTCCAAAGTGACCCTGAGGAACAGCAGCATCGCTGCAAAAGCAGCCAGACGCAGCATCGTGGCCTGCGGGCAGAGAGAAACCACGGCCATCAACCCACGCACGCTGGACTTGAGGATAACAAACCCGTGGGTGGGGGATGCCTGAGCAGCCCCCAATTTCCTGGATGAGGTCCCTAAGTCATCATTCCTCCTGGCAGTGAGGACGCAACCCAGCAGCCCAGAGCTCTCACAGATGTAACTTTATCTGACCTCTGAAATGGCCTCCAGTTGAGTCACCAGCATGGCACCGCTTGGTGTTAACTGAGAACCTGGTCGTTCCCACCTGGGGAGCCAAATCCTGCACATCAGCCAGGAGTATGGCCATACCCTAGCAGCATGAGGTGCAGGATAAAGTCACTTCCATGGATGCCAGGCCAGGCTGTCTCAGCCCCTCACTTTCAGCCTGGCAAAGCCCAGCTCCAAATTCCTTTCTATCTCAGAGATCCCTCTGTCCCCAAACCCCAGAGCCTCCCAGGCCCCCAGCACGAGCTCTCCTGCACACCTGGCTCCAGGACAGCCAGCATGGCTGTTGGGAGAGCACAGCTTCACACGCTGCCCAACACAGCTCAGACAAGATCAGGGACAGGAAACTCAGCCCTTTGAACTCTGCTTGTGTTTGTAAACCCTCGTGTTGGCGGGCAGTTTCCTGGCCTGGCTCTGCTGGAGACACTGCCAGAGCACGTCAGGGATGAGGCCAGGCTGGAGTGGGCAGAACAAGGGCTGCCACTGCTGCCAGGAGTGCCCAGACCCCTGCCCCATGCCCAGGGGACAGTGACTCAGTCTCTGGTACTTGTCCCCAAAAGCAGCACCTCTGTCCTCATCCCAAACACCCCCCAGATGTGGCTCTGAGACTCACAGGAGACTGTTAACTAGCAAAGCCTCTTTTCAGGGGACAGCACTGGGAGGAAGAAAGTGACAGCAACATGTGACAGGGCTCCTAGTAAAACTGCCCCTTCCTGACATGGACGAAGAGGAAGGAAACACTGACGTCATTTCCATTTCCCTCTCGAAGGTGGATTCACTGCTCTGAAGCTGGAAGCCCTGAGTGGGCTCTACCACAGCTGGTGGCACCGGGAGTAACACTTGTGGCTTTCCCTCTGCTCTGTGCAGTGCCCCCAGATCTGGGAAGCCTCTGTGGATTTGGTACCAGATGGTGGCATCGGGGAAGCCAAGG